CATTAGCACCTCTAGTAATATATTTACTGAGAAAAATGGTGACGTGTTCAATACTTATGTTACCCGCTGTATGTGCCTTTTCTCCATCAAATAAATTTATCAATAATAACCTTTATGTAACAAAACAAAAAAACGTAAAATTGAAAGTAACCATCAAATCTTTCTTGAACTAATAACCCATTCTAGGCAGGTCCTTTGTACATTATTTGAACAAAAAGGAGCAGGTAAAAGATACAAGATCTTTTGATTTCCTGCACTTCTCATAATAATAACAAACATTTAAATGTTCTCACACCAGATAAATACAAAGTATTCCCACATTGAATGAAACTTAAATTTAACATTCTCATCCTTAGGAATAAAAACAGCTGAATTGATTGTGTTGCTGAATATTGTAAAAGAGTTATTGAATGATAAAGCTCTGTATATGTTGCATAACGTAATGATTGTTCCTCATTTAATTTATTGTATTGATTTTTTAGGGAAAATCTCGTAAAACAATTCGCTACAAATCCTATTTTTATTCTCCAGAAAACAGCTGTAAGGAAGTTATTATCGACGTTATTATAATCTTAAGGAAATGGAGATTTTTGTAAAACCTAAATTTTGAACCAGTTTGAAAGAAGAAAAACTGTTGAATGATCTTAAGATTGATATTAAAACGGCTGAAACAATGTGTATGTTTAAGAAAATGATAAGCGTTTAGTTTAATGGAAGAATTAAAATATGGCAGCATGTGTTTAAATGAGTTATTGTTTAGGAAAGACTTGATTTTGTTTTGTATATTATTGTTGTTTGAATTTAATTTTAGGGAAAAATAGGCAGATATGATAAGGTTTTTTTTCTTTTTTTGGCTTCTTTTAAATTAATTTATGACTTGTTTTGTTTTTCTTGTATATAAATTATTTTGTTTGCTTTTAAATGAATGAATAAATGAATTAATCTTTTTGGTGGTCCTACTTGTAGAGTTGAACTTTGGCTCTCAAGCTGTATTTTTACCAGAACTGCTGCTTTCAGGCTCATTAACCTTGAAGTATCAGAGTGTTTTTATGAGGACTAGAATTTGAGGCTGATATCGAACAACACGTTAGTTCTTTGCAGGCTTTAGAGATCGWAACTTTCCAGACTTTTTTAAAGGTTATAGATCTGTGGATGAGATGAATCAAAACAAGAAATGCTTTTAAAATAAAATGTCTGTCACTGAGCTGCTGTAATCTACAACAGGTGTCCCTTTAATACTCAGAATGAGAAAAGTCGGAGCAACAAGCAGAACCTAAAACACAGTTWAAACTCTTGAATTCACGTCAGTTTTTGCATTCCTCGTTCACCTGTCTCACAGCTGATCTCTTTCTCAGGTTTGGGGTGTTTGAGTTCCTCAGTAATCGTGCGAAGGATGAAAACGGACGTCTGGACAGCACCAAGGGGCTGCTGTGTGGGCTCGGAGCCGGAGTGATGGAGGCCGTGCTGGTGGTCTGCCCCATGGAAACTGTCAAGGTGGGTTTAATGACTGATTATACATCATGAAGCATATGTTCCATTTATACTTTAATCTCAGAGCACAGGACATCCTGACAGGAAGGAGTTCAGGAAATGTGTTTTTTTGTTAGTTTCTGCTCCTCCATTCATCCCACCTCACCTGCTCCTCGTTCTGTTAGTCACAGCTGCAGTCACTCCTCTCATTCGCCTTAATGCATTTATTCTGCCACTAAATTCTTTCTCAGTTGCACATTAAACACGAGGTTTGGGTTTGTGTGCATGTCTCTCTGTTTTCTTTGAGCAACTAGTTTTTTTGTTTTTTGTTAAAGTTTTTAGTTGTTTCTCCTCCTGCCAGCATGGCAGCTGAAGTGAAGTTTCACCCACAAAACTTATCTTATGTTATTATTTAAAACCATTACCGTGTACCATCTTTAAAACGGTTGTAAAAGAAGTCATTAGCACATCTTTGTTTATGTATTTTATTGTATCTCTTGTCTTTAAACCTTCACTCCTTGGTGAAAGAGATTTCAGACTAAATAATAACGTATCCAGATGTCACAATAAGCGTTTTCCTCTCTTTATCTTCCAAGGTTAAATTCATTCACGACCAAACTTCAGCCAACCCCAAATACAAGGGCTTCTTCCACGGAGTCCGGGAGATAGTCAGGTCACAAGGTAAAGCCTGGYTTCAGTTGAGTCATATTTAAGGCTTATGATTCATGAGTGAAAGAAAAGTCATTTACATTGAGAAATTAAAACATTACAGAATCAGTAGTGAACTTTTTTAACTTTTTCTCAAAATATTCACAGTAGAGGCTTTTTCATCAGAACCATATGTGTGTTTGAGCTGACCTCTGCTGGACAAACAGAATAAATGCAGCTGAAAACATAAAGCTGACACCAGCGTTGGGGTTTTAACCTCCTGGTTTCCTGTCTGAGCAGGATTAAAGGGGACCTATCAGGGCGTGACCGCAACGGTCCTCAAACAAGGCTCCAACCAGGCCATTCGCTTCTTYGTCATGACGTCCCTGAAGAACTGGTACAAAGGTCTGATAACAAGAACAGGAACTGTTTAACTTTGCTGTGGAGGGTATTTATTCTGCAGCTGGAACTAAAGTTTAAACTCTTTTAAGACTCTTTAAAGTTTAAAATGTTTGTATGTAGAATTAAAACACAATTAAAGTCTCTCATTTAACTTTGTGCTGACACCAAACTGTCTCTGTTTTTTTTTTGGTTTCTTTCTACCAGGTGATGACCCAAACAAAAGTATAAATCCTTTTGTGACCGGAGCTTTTGGAGCCGTGGCGGGGGCTGCGAGTGTATTTGGAAACACACCTCTAGATGTCATCAAGACCAGGATGCAGGTGCACGAAACAGTGGTTGGAAATTTGCAAAACTGATTTGATTTATACTAATAAGATAAAATATTTTTATCCTCAAGGGTCTGGAAGCTCATAAATATAAAAACACGATGGACTGTGCCTTAAAGATCCTCAGACATGAAGGCTTGGCAGCGTGAGTCGACTTTTTTATTCAGCTTCTAATTGTTTTTAAAAATCCTGCATCGCTTTCTCAGCTTCAAAATTCTGTTTGGAAACACACATTCTCCATATTTTATATATTCTGTCAAATTAAAAATCAACTTCTGTATATATTACACTCTTATACTGTGGAACTTCTTTTTCAGAGACATGCCTCATGAAAAATGCTGCAGAGAATGAGTTTATTATTGTAAAGTGTGATGTTTAACAGGTCAAATATTGTTAATTAAGCAGCATTAAATGTACCAAACAAACAAATATTTTCTGTGAAAATGCAGCAGGAATGCTGACTGATGAATGACTTCTCTAAAATTTGRTTATCAAGCTAAAAATCTAAAGTCGAACATGAATTAAAAGCTGCAAAATGCTAACTAAAATAGTATGAAAGAGTGGACTATATCTAAAAGTAGCAAAAGACTAGCTAAGAACTAAGATAACAAAACCAAGCTAAAGTAGTACAAGGCTATTTAAATGCTAAAATTAGAAACAACTAGCTAAAAGCTAAATTAACAAAAGGCTAGCTTAAAGCGTAAACGACAACAAAAGTAGCTGAAAGTAGCAAGAGGTTAACTAATAGCAACTAACATCTAGATTAAAGCTAAAATATAGATAGAAAATAGATTTTCATATATTGTTTTACCAATAACTATGTTTTTATTTTGATTCCTTTTTTCTGTCTGAAGTTTCTACAAAGGGACGGTTCCTCGGCTCGGCCGCGTGTGTCTGGATGTGGCCATCGTCTTCATCATTTACGAGGAGGTGGTGAAGACCCTGAACGCCGTCTGGAAGACGGACTGAGCCGATGGGCGAGAAGATGGCAGCTTCAGACCCAAATCTAAGTTTCTGTCTTAAAAAAAAAAAACAGCTGCAAAGAAGAACTGAACTTCGATCAGCGACGTGTGCCGAACCTGAAATCCAACATTTGCCCGAACAGATTTACAGAAAAGAAAGTGTCYGAAAGGACTCGCATCGAGACGAAGCAGAGCTCCTGTCGGACGAAGCAAACAACAAAGTTAGTCAAATAATAGTAAAATACGATTTTTTTTTTCTAAATGTGAAAAATATCTTAACGCAGAAGCCAACAAAAGCAACTTTTTCCCTCCAGTGATCTTCCCCCTCATGCAGACTTTCATTTTTTTTCATTCTTGATGTTTTATTAATGTTTTTACTGCAACAGTTCAGGTTTTATTCTGGATGGTTTTGAGTTCTGGTCGCTCTGTGTCTCTTCGTGTGCCTGTCGAAGAATCAAACTGCAGCTGCTCACAGTTCAAACTTACATTTAGGCCTTTAATTATTCTTTCTGCTGAAAATCTTTATACAGTTTAGAATGTAACGTTATCCTGGATTGTAGTGTAGTATTAGATTAGGATTATGTAAAAGCTTGAAACAGGCCAAATTTMCAACAACAACAAAAAAGAGCAAATATATGTAAAGAAGTTATTTAAATTCTATTTTAAATTAAAATATTTATTGAAAGCCGAATGTTAAACGAGGCTGAGAGTCTTTTTGCTGTTATTTGGTGCCAAATGAGTCCCGTCTTTCTGTTATTAAGTGCTATTAAGAGGTTTTAAGGTTATTTAATTACTGTAATTCACTGTGAATGACCTGAAGACACTGATTTTTAGATTTCTTCGTTAAAACAGAACACTGTAATATTTACCATCAGTTCCAAATCTGAGGGTCTGTGGAAATTAATAATTCTTCGTTTAGAAGTCCTACATGACTGGACAGTTTTTTTGTTTTGTTTTTTTTGTTTTTTTGTAAAGCAGAGACAAAAAAATGCCTCATTTGCTTTCAAATATTCCATATCTTCAGGTTCAGCCTCTCACTCTTGTGCCTTCAGCTGTGTTTGAAAAATAAAAATGTTAATGTGAAGTAACCTCATGGGTTATCTTGTTCAACTGAAATAACTAATACAAACATTTGTCCTTCTTGTCATGAGAAGTAATGTGAAAATAGTTAGAATCTATAATCTTGCGGTGATGAATGGGTTAAAGTGACAATTATATTTTTCTTAATTATTAAATATATACTTTTTTATGTTGGACTTTTTATGTTGGACTCAAAAAATTCTCACTGCCAAATATCTAAAAGTGTTACTGTGAAAATAAATCGGTGTTCTTCAGACATGTTGTGTTTGTGTGTGTGTGATTCAGTCTGCTTCAAGTTAAACTTTGTCAAACAAAAACTGTTTTCACCTATTTTCTGATTATTTTTCCTATTTGACAGCCAGCACAAATTTTATGTCTTAGATTTTAATTTAAGGACACATTACCACCAATATAAAAAAGGGCACATTTTGTTTCTTTTCTCTCTGACCAATTTTATGGCATTAATGAGTAACTTYAATTGTGGTTCATGCTGCATAAGTACCAAACACTAGAGGGCGCTGTGGCTCAAGTGAACAAACTCGTGATGAAAAACAGTTAAGTGACAAAAAGTTAGCTAAAAGTAGCTTAATAATACAAGTAGCAAAATGCTAAGCTAAAAGTAGCAGATTAGTATAAAAGTCGAATTAAAAAGACAAAATYACAGTGGGTTGCTGATAGATTTCAAAGAAGATTTTTTCTGAAGAGATTCAAGTGTTTTTTATTTTTTGGAGAAAGTTTATAAATAAAAACATTAAAAAGTATAAAAGTTACAAAATCCATAAGTCAGAGCATCCATCTCCTGAATAAGATGAACGTTTTATATTAAAAAAATTGTTAAAAGAAATGGTTAGATTGCCAAACGTGTTTAGAAAAATAAATGTGTTTATTTAGTGTTTTGCTCTCTGGATGCAGTTTTCCTGTGACCTCTAACTCCCATCGTTCCCGCCAATCTGAAGCAATGAAGAGGAACTAATCCTCTTTGTTCTCCAGTCTTTTTGGTTCAGAGGAGTGGATGGATTTACTGCGGGAAGGGTGGAAATGATCTTTTCTCTGCAGCTCAGGAGGAGCTGCTTATAGCAACGGTTTGTTTCTCTTCTGTTTACTCATTAAYTTCAATTAAAGAAAAACACCTTCGCCGCTGTCCGTGGTGCTGAAGGATCTGATCGGTTTTAGATACTTCACGAGCACACTTTGTTTTGTTTTTGTTTCAGCCGAGATGCGGTGATTTAAGCTTTTAATTTAGCTTTAGGAAAATAAAACCCAGTTTGCTTTTCACCAGCTTCAGACTGGTTGACTTTTTTTCCCTCCCTATCCTAATGCAACAAGAGGCACTGGACCTTGAGAACAGGTCAGTTTCCGTCCCGCCGGGAGTTGTTAAAGGGGAGGGATCCAGTCAGAGGAGAACTTTTGCGCGCATCGTTCTGATTTTACGCACCATTTGTTTCCGTTTCTCTCTTCAGGACTTTGTTTCTGTCTGATTTCATGCAGGAGACGCAGCGGTCGCCCTGATAACAGAACCCGAGCAGACTTCAGAGGGAGTCCTGAGCGCAGCGCGGAGGAGCAGGTGGTCCTGGAACAGACACGATGACGGGAGCGCACGGATGGAGCGCGGCGCGCCGCTGGTTCTTCCTTTGCGGGAGTCTGGCGTTTCTCTGCGGCGAAGTCGTGCCGCCGACCGAGGCCGGCTGCGCGGAGAGGGAGAGCCCGAACTGCTGCAGCGGCCGGGATAACGAGTGCGTGGAGTACACGAGGAGGAAAACCGTGTGTTACTGCGACAGCTACTGCCAGAAAACCAGGGACTGCTGCGAGGACTACCATCGCGTGTGCCAGATATCAGGTGAGTGGTTCATCTGATGTGTGACAGGTTTTCTGGACAGAACTTGTTTGGCTCTCTGGCATGGTCCAGAGGTGACTGAGAGGACACAGAAACTGTGCGACACAGAGGAATATGTTCTTTCTTTGAAGCAGAAACAATTGTGTCGTTGTGTAGTTAGATGTGCATGCTGACCTTTGACCTTCACATCAAARTTTGAAAATGCACCACCTGATTAGGAAGGAGATGCGAATGAAAATGTGTCTTAAAGCAGGAGCTCAGACCTCATCACTAGGTCTGCTGCTATATATGGAGAAATAAAAGAAAGATGCCAAAGATGGTCAGGACGGAGTTTAGTCTGGTCTGTGACAGACAGACTGGAAACCTTGACTGAAGTCTTAAACCTCACAAGGACTAATGGGTGTATTTGTGTGTGTGTGTGTGTGTGTGTGTGTGTGTGTGTGTGTGTGTGTGTGTGTGTGTGTGTGTGTG